GGCGCTGTTGGATTTCTGCTCGCCTCGGATTTGCAATCAGGTTCAACACTGGCGACCCTCCCGAGCAAGGAGGTGAAAACCAGCACGTCACCCACACTTTGGGAAATTCGGCCAGGATCACGTCGATCCATGCTTCAAGACGCAAGTGGGCTGATCTAAGATCGTCCTCCTCAGTCACAGCTAGAACATGCTAGAACGCACAATCCATGGAGTGTCCCTGTTGGATCACCTGTGAAAATCCCGACCTGTCTGCCGTACACAGTTCAACGATCAAATGTGAACATTTACCTGACTTGAGGCTCGCTTCAATGTCGTTCAGATTGCGTTCAAAACTTTCGTTCACGCTGCCGACCGACACTGCTTCAGTGCTCGAAAAAAACGACAACGGGTTCTCTTCATTCAGCACTTCGTCCGGTTCATGGTCACGCTGTACGTCAGCATCGTCAAGTACTTGTTCCGACTTCTTGGTAGTAACTTTGTTCTTCTTCAACGCTTTTCCTGTCATGACCTGCCAGACTTCCGGCGCTGTCACTTCCAAGATTCCGATCTGAGCTCTATGAAACTCGGTGAGATCTCTATTCAAGATCTTGGTCAACATATCAGATACACACAGTTTGCCTGGAATCCAAACCAACACCAAGTGTCCATTCTCGACTAAGGATTGAATGAAACATGTTGCCAATGACATGTGACATATGTCTCACCCTTCTCGACAAACCCTGGTTCTGCAAAGCTGCCAGACATGACTGGGAGTCTGAGTAAATCAACACAGGATAACACTCACGTCCTTCCGAACTTCCAATCTGGTCAAAGTTCACAGCAGTGATATCATCCTGTCGAAACCTTTCCAATTCATGCATGTCTGCGAAGTTCTCGAGAAATTCGACAAGACGTCTGAGTCCTAGACACTCTTGGGCTGTCTGGCAAACTGTTATCACTTCGGCTTCACACGACGACAAGGTGATGCAACCTTGAAGACGGCTAAACCCTTTGACCACGTTTCCCTTCCAGTACAACAGTCCTACTGACTGATCTTCTCTTTTCGAAATCACTACTACCCCATGATGCATCTGACAATCCAATCAAACCATCATAGAAGGGGATGGAAGTACACTCGGAAGGAAACCGGTGGAACAAATGAGCATTGCTTCGAACAAACCTGAGGTATCGTCTCAACATATTCTCATGAATGTTTGTTGGCTGACTCTGTCCAGTGGCTAGCAATGAAATGAACCTAGCATGGTCAGGTCTGGATTGGCACCACCATGACAGCTTCCCAATGATCTTCTTGTACCTAGGTGCACCCTCTTCTGACAGCGGAATGACAGAGTCCGGGTCACGAAATACCTTTTCAAGAAGTGCCAGAAGGTCAAGAGGAATCGGGGTTGCTTTCAGATCCATGCAAAAGGGCTCATGAACAAACAAGTCTTCCAAGTAGCTGGGAGGTACTCGAACAAACAACTGGTCTGAACGAGTCGGGCGAATGATCCCCCTGCCTAAGAACATGATGCGTCCCCCTTCTTTGGATGAGATTGTGATCACTCCAGTAGTCTTGACTTTCAACGATTCCTCCAAGGCCTTGCATACATCTTCCGTGCCTTTCTGCGACAGTTATGCCACCAGTAGATCGTCTACATACACAAGAACGATGGACGGACTGCCAGACGGATTGGTCACTCCTGCCATGATGGTCTGTTCACTAGGACACTTCAGCAAACCTGCGTTGTCTTTCAAAATCCTGGAGCATGTGTTCAATCATGCCTTTGACGCAATCCTCAATCCGTTCATTGCTCGATACAGATCCAAACACACTGGCTGATATGAGTCAGCAGCAAAAGAAACGTCAGCTGGCATCCGAATGATCGCTCTGGCTCCGACTGGTAGCTCGCTGTGTAAGAAGGCTGTTGAAATGTCGAGACTTGTCAGCCACAAAATGAAATGCTGAACAGCAGCTAGGAATGACCTAAACGCCTCAATGCTTGGTGTGGAACTAGAGATGCCTAGATTCTGTGCTGACTGAGCTCCCGTAGCTACATCCTGAACGACACATCCTACACTGGTTTTTCCCTTCTACTGTCTTGCTGGTCAACACCCATCGAGAACCAATGATGCGGATGTGCAATTCCTTGGCCATCTCTCTTGCAACTTCTTCAACGATTGGCACACCAACTTGAAGCTTGTTCATGGCCATCAGTTCGACCAAGCGTCCTCCTTTCACGAGTTCTGGACTGAATGTCGTCTGACCGTCTTCTGAAATTCCTAGCTCTGGTTCAATGAGATATGCCTGACATCCGCAAAATTCAAACGACTCACTCTGTAGAGCAGTGGCTTGCTTAGATGGCACATATATCGGACAAAAAAACCCTTGAGAATCTCGACCCTGTACAAGCTCTTCAGGCGGTGGTGTCAATCTGTGCACAAATTGCAACGCGTCCATTGGCATTCTCATTGGATCATGATCTTCATCAACTTCCATGTTCATGTCCCCTGGTTCTGTAGG